AAGAATTCCTTAATCATGAAACCATCACTTAAACAGATACACACACTCATGTCACAGCCAATTTTCCCAGAAACAATTAACCTACCAGTATGTCTTTGGACTGTGTGGTACTTTGCATTATATCGTACTGTGCAGTAATCAACTATAGTGGGATATGATTGGTATATAAATATACAGTACCAGTCAAATGTTTGAGTACACCTCCTTGAAACCAGATTTTTCATGATTATTTGTGCTTTAAACTGTATAATATTGTCTATAAACACTTAATATTTAACTGCATGATATGTGTACTTATAGTCACAAGTCTGCGAAACCGGCGACTAACTGCCCCTGAAATACAAACTGAGCTCAATGCAACTAGAAGTATAGGTGTTTCACAATCAACTGTTCAGAGGAGGTTGATACAGTACTGTATGATTTTAAAGCCAAATAAAATATATTTTTATAACCAAAATTTAAACTAAAATTGTTTCCTGATTACTTCTTGCTGAAATTTGCATTAAGACAAAATATAGATATTTGTTTTTATGTGGATGTTAGCCTGAAAGAAGCACATCGTGTCCACAACAAGCTATAATTATAAACCATTTTTTATATACGCAACTGAGTCATTTTGGTTTTGTAAAAAAGCCCTACTTTCTTTTTTTTATTAATTTAATATTTTACATACTGTTATATACAGTATATGATTTATAAAACTCTAAACACTATACAACATAAATTCTATAATCGGAAAAAAGATTGTCCCACGGGACTCAACGTTGACAGAGATTTGAAACCAGGCATTTTCTTGTGATATGCCAAGTTAAGCATTCACTGTGCCACCTGGCAGTTTTCAAAATAGTAGTGTAGTTCAACAACAGAATATTTTTTAAAAAGTACAGTACAGGGGAGGGGTGCGGTGTGTGCACCACAATCTGCTGCATTATCCAGTATGCATTCTGAATGGCATCAAATGAGCATAAAAAAGTTACGATGTTCAACAAAATTTTACAAAAGCAAAATAAATGTAATTTGTCAAAATGAACAGTATTCATTTTTATTTTTATAAAACACTGAATCACATAACAAGTGAGGATCTCTTGACACAAGTGTGTCTATTTCTATGTCTTCTTATTACCTCAGGTTTTCACCACCCTCCAGCACCTCATGATGAAGCTGATTGGGTAACAAACGTACAAAGTCCTTCAGGTGACACATCTCCAGGGCCTCCCATAGCTGTGCATCTGAGTACTTTTCCAGTGGATCCAGGTTCAAACGCAGAGACCCCGAGAACATAATAGGGTCCTGAAATAAACAGGGTGTTGGCATTTTGTTGTTCAGAACCTCTTCACTGTTAATGATTTCACAGCAGGCCAAGGAATCATAACCTGCTGCTCAGTTTTTGAGGCTATACAGTTCCATAAACATACACTAAATCTCTTCTTCTGTACTGGTTAAGGTTACACATATCTTGATACTGTAAATCAGATCAAAGAAAACAAAAATTGATTTTTGTTATTCTATATTCTAGAATCTGGGTCCTAATGCCCCAGCATAGTGACGGAGACACTATACTGTAAACAGGCACCATACTTCGGATGAGATGTATGACTCTGAGATGAGATGTAAGATCCTGACTCTCTATGGTCATTTAAAATCCCATGCCTTTTCTTGAAAAGAGTAGGGGTGTAACTCTGGTGTCCTGGCCAAATTTCCCGTTGGTCCTCACCAATCATGGCCTCCCAATAATCCCCATCTATGAATTGGCTTCATTACTCTGCTCTCCTCCCCACTGAGAGCTGATGTGTGGTGAGGGTTCTGGCGCACTATGGCTGCGGTCGCATCATCCAGGTGGATGCTGCACATTGGTGGTGGTGGAGGGGAGTCCCCATTACATGTAAAGCGCTTTGAGTACAGTGTCCAGAAAAGCGCTATATAAGTGTAAGCAATTATTATCATTATTAATATTCTTTCCTTAGAGCCTTTGCAAGACTGTTATACTCTCTAACCTCACCTTCTTATCCCTGGGCTGAAAAACAGCTAATGTATAGTCCAATGCTCACAGCTATACAAATAAAAAAGATGCAGTACACGAAAACTATATGAAAAACAAAACAAATGCTAAGATTTTATGTTGATTAATATTTTCTTTGCATCTTTTAAAGTTTACCTTCTCCCTCATGAAAGTCTGAAATGTCACATCCCTTAGAGTTGGCTGCAGGTCCTTTCTGTAACGAGCCTCATAGTTAACAAACTGGACAATCCCCTGTTCGGGCCATTTCTGAGGTGGTCTGTTAGGAAGAATCCAGGGGGCCTTTATAGGAAACAAAATATTTTTACTATTCATTTTTAGCAGCAATGCTTATTAATGAGACAGAATTAAGTGTTGTTATGCTTGCCTAAATTAGGGCCACATCTCTCATCATCATCTCTGTGGTGCAGCCACAGAGAAGCTATTCCATGTAGTTTCTTATTTAAAGTGTTTTCTCTCCGATAAGGAGCAGCTCCCACATGGGGATGTGCCCAGCCATGCCTGGCTATTATGATAAATATCTATTCCTGGGGCCTCATCTGTTTATGAGATTCTTAGAAATATCTGGATTGCAGTCCTAGATGTCAGAGGTCATTGTTACAGATCGCTCACCTTCCAACCAACCAATCAGGAATCTGCAGGGAGAGGTAACCCCACATGGGTCTCAAATGCCCGCCAAACTCTCAACCAATCATCACCTGTCTTTGTTCTAGTTAAAAAGACACTGCAGAGCTCAGAACTTTGCTTTTCTGGACATTTTCATGTATCCTTAGAGACAATCACATGATAATAATCTAATGAAGTGAAAAAAAACAAACCTCTTTCTCCATTTCCTCGTATTCACAGACTCTCTCAATAGCAACAGCATTGGTCTCTATTTCACAGGCTTTACGGACCCAGAAGTTAAGTGTTGCTGTCACCTGCAAATATTTTAACACTTTTCAACATTAGTTACAAGAACCATTAAAATTAGCAAGAATTTAAAATTAGTATGAAAGTGTTTTTTCATGTTGAAAGATATAGACAGAGGCAGGTCCCTTGAATCTGCATTACTTACATTTAATGCATAGGACAAGACCAAGCCCACTGTGGCAGCATCCATGTTGTTTCTACTCTGAACCATGAACAGTGCAGCAAAGAACACCATCAGATTTCCCACAAAGTCAAGCCTCATTGCTAACCACCTGCAGGAGAGAGCACAATGAAAACTCACTAATGTCACCTGATCGTACTGAAACTCTAGTCTCTTTACAGTATAATCATTAATTCTTAGGAATGACAATTATTTTCCCCCTCTTCAGACTAATGTGTTTGGATGGGACCCAATAGGGCCTGACTAAAAATTTTGTCTGGTTAGTGAACACACATCACCCATAGAACCTGACTGGATACCTATAGGGCCTGACTGTAAATTGTAACCTCCTAGTGGGAACCACATTGTACTTGGTAGATCTGACCAACATAAACAGTAGCTTGTGAACTCCAGGCTAAAAAGCCAACCTTTATTCAAGATGCAGGACTGCTTTTTAAGACTACTCCTTAAAGAGTAGTACTCCTAGAAACTTTTTTTCTAAAAACAAAACCAATAGTTAAAAGCACTGTACTGATATAAAACAAATGTGACAAGTGTATGACAGCAAAAACAGACTACATTGTCAAAAGAGTGTGCAATGTTTTACAACTGGGAATGTGCAGCTACTGTGTGTCATTAATTGTACTGCCAATAGTCAAATGTCTGGGGCTCCCAGTATGCAACTGGCCAATTACATCTAGAGCTTGGTGGGCTTACAGTGCTAAAGAATCTTATTTTATAAGTATTTATTTAATACAACTACTCTACTAGTAGTATTTGGTGAATAATGATTTGTTTGCTTTGTGGTATTTTGAAATATCAATATTTATAATGATTATGGAATATAAACATCTCAAAAACAGAACACATGATCAACAAAGTTACCTTTGACCTAAAATGACCTGATATAGTACTGTTAATTTAATACTCAGGTTTGCAGATGATACTAAAACTTTAATAGCAGCAACTTAAATTCAAGTAGATGAGATCATTTTCATACTGGACAAACACCTGGTTAAGTAACCTGAACATAATTGTAGAGAGCTTGCTATGTTATTTTCAGTAATTTTCATGTCTGGATTGTGGAATAGTCAGACTAAAAATGAATTCTTTACGTTAATGAAACTTTTTTAGAATAGAGAGTCTTGACCACATCTGATTTATTATTCTATCTTCAGAACTGTGCCAAAGAAAAAAAAACAACACATATGCCATTTCTCACATACTTCACATTTTACCGAATGCTCAGATTTATATCCTGTCCTGCAATATAGTTTGTAACAATATACTGCTGCTATGGAATCAGTCCACAGAAGGGCAAACACGGTACTAATGCATTGGCTTGAAGTCAATTTAAATAACTCTGATCAGCTAAGGGGCAGCATGATGGCATAGTGGTTAGCATTACTGCCTCACAGCACTGGGACCCCACGTTCAATTCCAGACCTAGGGTGCTAGTGTATCTGTATGGAATTTGCATGTTCTCCTTGTGTTTGGGTGGGTTTCATCTATGAAAATTGGCCATAGGTGTGAGTGTGTGTCTCTGTACACTAAAACTCTTAGTGAGCCGGTTAAGTCATTTCCAGTCTGTCATTTCTCATGCTGCCAATACAGTACTGGGAACATTACAATACAAAAACAAGGCCATGATGAAATGTGGATACTGTGTAGTGAGTACTTGGGCAGGTAGCAGGGAGAAGCTCACTCTCCTAGTCTGTTGAGTGTCTAATTTGAATGTTGTGGTACATTCAATCTGAATTACATCCCACTTTTTTCAACCAAGATTCCACCAGCCAAAACAGATTGGAAATAAGCAACTTAATGTGTTACAGATGTCAAGACTCCACTGGACAGGGGCCATTTCTTTAAGGGTTATGGGAATATGGAACTAGACACCAAATCATGTTGCTGAAGTCAATACCTTGGTTTCCTTCAAAAAACTGCTAGACAAGATCTTTGGATTATTTAGCTATGGACTACCAAACTTGTAAGGGCCAAATGGCTTCCTCTAGATTGTAACCTTTTTTTATGTTCTTATCATAATGGGCAAATGTGTAGCAGGCCTCATCATTACCTGTTAGAAATTACATTGTTATAGTAGCACAATAGGTTCTCATTGATGGTTTGCCGGTTCTGATTGATGAATCTCCCCTGATAACCAAAGGCTCTTATTGTGGTAACTCCGAGGACAGTTTCTGTGAAGTGGGAGATAATGGGAGAACGGGAGGCACCATCCAGTCGCCGGATCTGTCTTGAGCTTGCAATGTAATACCTCTGCAAAATAAACAGTTAGCTGTGCCATGGTGCTGGACATGTCATATTCTTAGCCAAGGGTACAGCCAGACAAGACGTATCTGGGGATCCTCACAGAACTTCACAGATTTCACTGACAGGAGAGGAAAGAGGAAATGCAAACAGGGCAAAACAGGAATAGAAAATTCAACACTTAAAAGTCAACACTGACATTTATCATGTAATTAATATGCAGTTGGTATAGAAAGTCACCACCCCCTTTAACAATTTGAACGTTTTGTTGTATGACACTGAAAATAAAAACAAATTAAATTAAGCTTTTTCCATTTTATTTACACACAGTAACCCACATTAGCCAAGGGAAAATACAATTCTAAAACATTCCAAAAATTAATTAATATTACCACAGTAAAATACCTTATTTGGATAAGTGAACACCCTCTTTACAACTACATTTGTAAACTTGGTCAGGTATAACCAATCACCTTACAGATCAAACAATAAACTAATTGGCTCCCACCTGTCATTAATTGTGGTGACTGATCACAGAATAAAAGCAGTTGTTTCAAGAGGATTCCACTACTTGGAAGTGCATTTCAAAGCAAAGAATCCACTATGGGCAGAAAGGTGCTTTCAAAAGAACTTCGAGATAGTTGTGGAAAGGCACAAATCAGTATTCCATGGAGCACAGTCAAGACCATCATGTGGAAGTGGAAGGCGTACGGCACCACCCAGACCTTGCCTAGATCAAAGCGTCCCTCCAAACTGGATGACTGAGCAAGAGGGAGACTGATCAGAGAGGCCACCAAGAGGCTGATGGCGACTTTGAACGAGCTACAGGCCTTTATGGCAAAGACTGTTCATTGTGTACATGTGGCAATATCACAAGCGCTCCACAAATTTGGCCTGTATGGGAGGGTGTCAAGAAAAAAGCCACTCCTTAAAATAAACCACATCATGTCTCGTTTATGTTTTGCTAAAAAGCACCTTAAAAATTATACGGCCAAGTGGAAAAAGGTGCTGTGGTCAGATGAAACCAAAATCGAATTTTTTGGCAAGAATGCAAAACAGTACGCCAGCGAAAACCCAATACATCTTAACATCCAAAGAACACTATTCCTCCAGTAAAAGCATGGTAGTGGCAGCATCCTGTTGTGGGGATGTTTCTCTTCAGCTGGGAATAGGGCACTTGTCAGGATAGAAGGGAAGATGGATGATGCAAAATACGAGCAAATTCTTGAACAAAACCTGTAGCCTTCAACCAGGAAGTTGAAAATGGGAAGATGGTTCACCTTTCAACATGACAATGACCCAAAGCACACCGCCAAAGCAACCGTACAGTGGCTGAAGTACAGAAAGGTGAATGTCCTTGAGTGGCCTAGTCAGAGCCCCAACCTAAAGCCAATCAAAAATCTTTGGACTGACTTGAAGAGGGCAGTCCATCAACGGTCACCACACAGTTTGACTGAGCTTAAACAATCCTATAAGGAGGAATGGGCAAATATTCCTTCTTCTAGGTGTGCAAAGTTGGATGTGTCCATCAGACCCAAGGCTGTAATTCAAGCAAAAGGTGCTGCCACCAAGTAATAACTCAGGGGGCTGTTCTCTTATCCAACCCAGTTATTCTACTTTTTTTTTCAGAAATGTTGCTTTCTTTTATCACCTGGATGTTGCAAGGTACAATTTGTAAATAAAACTGGAAAAAGTGTGATTTTATGTCTTCTTTTTGGCCGTTAGGACAACAAAAGAGGCACATTTTGAAAGGGGGTGGTGACTTTCTATACTCACTATATACACTGTAAAATCCACGTCTATATCAGAACTTTGTTAAAGGTTGCAAAGGAGCAATCGTATCTGAACTATACTGATGGAAAAAAGAAAGGCAACATTTTCTAGAACGAGAATGCTATAATTATATCTTATGTACTTTCACAAAAAGTTGTCAATTTGTTTTAAGCCCTCTGACCAGCAATACAGCTTGTGCAGTGAGGCATTGCAACTTGCCAATCACACAAAAGCTCATTATGTGCAAGAAAATGGCCACACTTAAGTTTTATGTTCATTCCACAATCCCTGAATGTCACCAGAAGCAAGGGACAAGGTCATTGGCATGCTGCAGGCAGGCTTGTCATGTGCCAGCGTTGCCAGACACTATGGAGTAAGCCGCTCCACTGTAACCCGACTGCAGAGAAGGTTTCAGCAGACCGACAGGACAGATGACAGTCCAAGATCCAGTTGCCCTCAAGTGACCACACCAGAGCAAGACCGACACATCAGACTGGTCCATCTGATCCATTCTTGAGAATTTTTTCTAGCTACAGTTTTAAACCCCATCCAAAATTCCAGAAATGAGTTTAGTAATTTACCTTAAGCATAGTATAAATGTTTCACATATCAGATCTTATTACAAAATGATTGGTTCTCTGTATATTATCCCATTGATTTTTCTGGCCTGGACAGTGCTGGTGTGGAGTCACCAAGGAAACCCAGTTTGTTGTTGTAAAGATTGCTGGCAGACCAGTAGGTTGCACTTTTTCTTCTGAACAGAACCTCCAAACCAATCCCCCAGTACAGTGACCAAGTACACTTACAGATGCAGCCATTCAAAACAAGTGGGTGATACCGCGTTAAAATGCAGTGCGCTTGTCGCAGTATCACTCAAGTTACTGTATAATACCGTTTATTCTCGCATAATACTGCATGATACCGCAAGTAAAATAATAGTATCCAGAATTTCCACCAGGTGGAGCTAATAAAGCTCACCCTCTCATGTACAGCGTTTGAGCTGTCGCCATCAAAGTCTTTACCGAAGATATTACTAATAGTATTAATAATGAATGACCTTGGACAATCTGTAAACTGAAAGTATTACCTGGTCCACATTCTTTGTAACCGTCTTTGTAAACGAAAATACTTTTTTTTCATTGACCATCTATGTAAACGAAAAGACTTAATTTTTTTTAGTAATAAAAAGTAACACCACAGCATTTCGTTGATCCAATCATGCATTTGTTTCCAATCATGCAAAGTAATTCTTGAGAATCTCTGATTCACCATGCCTTTCAAATGCTCATAAAATATATTAATTTAGGAACATAAACATATAACAGTATGTAAACTGTACTGTATATGGCTGGTCTTGGTATTTTAAAGAAAAAATACACACCAGTTTTCCATTTCTCCCTAAACATTTTAAGCATCAAAGTCCTACATGTGTTTATTTCGGAAACGTTTTTACGTGCTCCTTCTGACCATGTCACTGTATGTTTAAAAGTATACTTTTAGAATTTGATTAATAGGGAATATAATATGGAATCGCGTATCCAAAGAAATATCTGTATAACTATATTCATGTTATTGTTGCACTGTTGTACTATAAGACTTTCCATTGAGAGGTACTTGTCACATGACTGCCTTGGTGGTGTGATCTTGGTGATGGACTTGTAGTCCTGAGCTTGAGTGTTCAAACCCAGCTGTTGCCATCAGTTTTCTTTTAACAAATAAAAGTTTCTTTGAAAAACTAAAATAGGTAATATTATTGGCATTGACATTTTTTATATTTCTAAATATCACAACATGTTCATACTGTATGTACACAGCGGTAGGGCGCAAATTCACGTTATCCCTATTAATAAAGGGTATTAAGGGTATTAAGATCCCTTTAGATCTCCCTTGAGAAGCTGAAGCTACAGTATACTGATTCTTATGGGAATGTGTTTTCTTTCTTCTTTTTATCAGCATGGAATAAACCTATTACTTGATTCTTATGGAAGCCCATTTCCGTCAGGGAGTAAAAAAAAACACACACTTTTTCATTGACAAAAAGTAACACCACACTCTCTTGTTTAAAGCACCACGTCTCTTCCCGTTAAAAAGAGGAGACACCTTACACTTTAACTCTTCAGTTCACTGAGAAATTTCACCAGACCCTCTTACTAAAAGTTTATGCTTATACCTAACTTTCTTAACGTGAGAAGTACTACTGTAAGCAAAAAAAGGGTTTTTGGAGGGGGGGGCAGTCTTCTGTTTCACTTGGCATTTCAACTAAAATAAAATGCATTCACTACAAAAGGGATAACGTACATTTCCTTTTGTGAATGAAAAGACTGTAGAATAAAGATTTCACAATAGAATAAAATGAGAAATTTACATAATAAGAGCAAGTAAATATCTCTGCACTCTACTAAAGTAAAGACTACATAATCTAATAGTTTCCCACCATCAACCCAATTCAACAGACACAAGGCAGGGTTTAAACTGGGGAGGATACCAGTCTATCCAAGGGCACTTACAGACACACACATTCTCATATTGGACAATTTTCCAGTGTGTTTTTGGCAATACCAGTATGTGTTTGGACTGTGGGAGGAAACTTACACAAACATGGGGAGAACATCCAAACTGTATACAGATAGACCCCCAGGTGCAGAATTGAACCAAGGGCCCCATTGCAGCAAAGCAGCAGTACTAACCACTGCACCACCATTCCACCCCTAATCCTAATTATTGTCTAATTATCCATCCTTTTCCTGCATGTGATTGATAGCAGTTTTCACAGAGATAAATAACACTATGTATCTTTTAAATTCTGTTTCAGAACAGCCAATGAAAAATGCAAGCTGAACTTCTAAGAAGGTGTTCACTATATTTAAATAGAATTCATTCCAACAGAAAACTGTTTGAGATCTAAATACTGTACGTGTAAAAACTTTAGGTCCTGTTAGCAGGATTGCTCACATAAAAGTGATTTGCAGATCATTCTAGCAGTAAACAACAACCAGGTGTACCCACACAACCCAAAACAGTCACTATAAAGATAAACATTTTCTTGGTTTTCCAAATGCTACTCAGCTGGCAATTTTTTTCACAGGTGAAAACCAATGACATGAAATGTGATCTCTCTCAAGACTCCTTAGGCTTGAACAAAGAAAATCTCCCTCCTTTTTAAGTTTGGGCCACACTAACTGCTGTTACATCTGATAACGATATTCACATGGAATCAACAACACGCTGTTGCTGTT